CATGTCTTTATTTCTTACAATAAGCAAGACAAGAAACCCTGCTAACATTCTAGTATAGGGTGGTAAGGAGGATCTCTGTAGGAATGAAAACAATAGAAGTTTAACATAACAGATAACATTTTACATAGCATTAAAACTGGGTATAGAAGACAGGAAATAACTGGATGTCTATTTTATATTGGATGGTTTGCTTCCCTAACCCTATTCCCTGAGCCCCACAGTCAATAAAAAAAAGTTGGCCTCTCAAATGGGAGGAGGGCAGTGGCTTTAAGGGTCATTGGGCTCTACAACTACACCCACAGTTCCATACAGCAGATTTATTTGAAAAGTATAGTTTTGAACTGTGTTCCAGAGATGGGACACTAGATGGTTATTCTGGTCCAAGGGGCAGTATAAGGTTCTGTTGGCAGTGGAAATATAAGGAAGAGATGGCTTAAAGAACATTTAGAAGGCGCAATCAATCGAATTTTTTAAAACAACTGGATGTGGAAGAGAAGGGAAATAATTAGGGGGCATCACCTGTGGCTTAAGGAGTAGGGTGCTGGCCCCATATACCGGAGGTGATGGGTTCAAACCTGGCCCCGGCCAAAAAAAAAAAAAAAAAAGAAGGTAAATAATTAATGATCCTGAGGTTTCTACGTAGGATGATTGGTGTGCTATTATCCAAGACAACACTGGAGGGTGCAAATCTGAGATGAGTTTGACTTGGGTCACAGTGAATTTTGATGGCATTCCTAGCCATCTTCCCTTGCTTTTCCTCCATAGCAATTATTACTATGTAACACATTATATACATGTTTATTTATTTACTGCTTATCTCTACACTCTCCACTACCCTACAAATTTGAGCCATATAAGGGTATCTGTAACACATTGTGCCATGCTTGGCCCCATTGTATACTTAGCAACACTAAATTAAAAATATGCAAAACTATAATATAAGAATACTTCCAATAATATTCTCTAGCCTACTATCTTAAATTTTAGCTGCCTCCACGCATTTGGGGTTATTTATCCCAAATTCTTGCTGGCCCTTAATTAGTGTCAAATTATTTTTAGGGTCTTTTAGACTTTGAGAAAAATCCTTCCATGTCTCAGATCAAGACCTCTTAAAGTTTTTCCAACCACTAAGTTACCTTGTTATTATCATTTTTGAATCCTTCCCTTCATCTCCTCCTGAGAAACAGTTTTACAGTTAGTTCATCATCTAATGTTGAACTGAAATCTTCATATTTTTAAATTAGAGACCAGATCATATTACACTGATCAAAAGTCATGAGAAAATTAATAGGGTTAGTGTACAGAATTGATAAAATCTAATAGCAAAGGAAACAGATATTTTACAATGTCTGTGCTGCCTTTTTTTTTTTTTTTTTTGAGACAGAGTCTCAAGTTGTCACCCATCACAGCTCATAGCACCTTCAACTCCTGGGCTCAAGCGATTCTCCTGCCTCTGCCTCCCAAGTAGCTGGGACTACAGGCGCCCACTACAATGCCCAGCTACTTTTTGGTTGCAGCTGTCATCGTTGTTTGGTAGGCCCGGGCTGGATTTGAACCTGCCAGCTCAGGTGTATGTGTCTGGCGCCTTAGCCTCTGGAGTCACAGGTGCTGAGCCTGTGCCGCCTTTTGCAGGTAAAAGTGTGAGTGACCATAGGCCTCTGGCACTAGAGAATGTAATCCTGGGCTTTTTAGTCCCCTAATGGCCCTGTCCTGGTCTAACAAAATTAGCAAAGAAAGGACTCTCAAAGGACAATAGGACTCTCACAAGTCCTGAATTAAATATAGCCTACTCAGAACAAAAGAGGGTGTGTAGATGCTATAAAATCTAAAAAATGAGTTTGTATTAAGCATTAAGGAGAAAAAAAATCACACCAATAACATCTTACATTGACATAGCAATTAAAACAATTTGGAACTTTCATATATATTACCTCTCTTCATCCTCTTATCAACACTAGGGAGGTATTATTACTTTGCCTTACATAAAGGGAAATTAGTCTTTAGAAAGGCTAAGTGATTGTTCCAGATCATACAACAAGCAAGTGGCAGTGTTGGGACTAGATGTTCAGATATAAGATCCAGTGACTCTTCCATTTAAAATACTGCCTCTCTGGTGGAGGAGGATTGCTTATGTAAGCCCCTAAAATCATTCTACATGTAGCAAAAATAAACTTCATTTATAAATTAGAAAAAAAGTTCTCAGGTTGGCACCCATAGCTCAGGGATTAGGGCATTGGCCATTTACACCAGGGCTGGTGAGTTCAAACCTGGCCTGGGCCTGCTAAACAACAATGACAACTGTAACAACAATAACAAAAATAGCTGGACATTGTGGCAGGCACCTGTAGTCCCAGCTACTTGGGAGGCTGAGGCAAGAGAATCGCTTAAGGTCAAGAGTTTGAGGTTGCTGTGAGCTGTGATGCCATAGCACTCTACCAAGGGCAACATAGTAAGATTGTCTCAATAAAAAAAAACAGTTCTCAGTTTCTCCTTAACAAATATTCTATCTGTGATGTCTGTACATAGCTATTATAGATTATACAGTATTATTTCAAGCAAATGCAATAATGCTAATAAAGGGCTCAAGAGAAAAAAGAACATATATAAGAACATATATAGATCTGTACAGGTCTATGACTGAATTATACACAATAGCAGCAGTTTCCAGCTTTTTAGTACCAGGAACTGCATTCATGGAAGAAAACTTTTTTGTACAGACTGGGGATGGCTTTAGGATGATTCAAGCACATTACTTTCACTGTGTACTTTATTTCTATTATTACTACATTGTAATATATAATGAAATAATTATACAAGTCATAATGCAGAATCAGTGGGAGCCCTGAGCTTGTTTTCCTGCAACTAGATGGTCCCAAAACTAGCATCATCACCACCTCAGATCATCAGGCATTAGATTCTTATAAGGAGCCTACCACCTAGATCCCTTGCATGAGCAATTTACAGCAGGGTTTGTGCTCTTATGAGAATCTTACTGCACTTCTGATTTTGATAGGAAAGGTTAAAACTGAAGCTTTTGCAGGTTCTTAAACAGAGAAGGAACATAGAAATACTCTGTATTTGGCTATCATGTGTTGATTCAAATAGTTATTGAGTACCTACGTGCAAAGTATTATGGTAAAGTCTAATAGTGTTTTAGGACCTATGGGCTGATCAGATGAGGAAGGAAGATCAGCTAAAACTTTATTATACAGCAGTCCTCTAATTGTAATAGTAAAAATTAAGATGCAGAGAACGCTTATTCATTTAGCAAATATTTACTATACTACTTGTGTTGTGTAAAAGATTCTGTGATAGTGGGGATACAGCAATGAATATACCTTCATTGAATTTATATTCTAAGGGGCAGCACCTGTGGCTCAAGGAGTAAGGCGCCAGTCCCATATATCAGAGGTGGTGGGTTCAAGCCTGGCCCCAGCCAAAAAAAAAAAAATTATATTCTAGTGGGGCACGCAGATGTGGAAAGACATTAAGCTTCTTGCACACACAAAAAGATCATTTTATTAATGTTGAGATATGGGCCATGGAAAATATGGAATGCTAAGACAGTGTGTTATGTTGGCCTAACCTAGTCTAAAAGGTCAAGAAGACATCTATGAGGAAATGATATTTCAACTTAGCACTAAAAGATGAGTGAAGTTAGCTGGGTAAAAAAGGGAGGGATGAGCGGGAGACAGAGAGAAAAGCATGCATGAAAGCTCTGGGGTGGAAATGATACAACTCATCCGAGGCACTACAAGAAGAAAGGCCAGCAAGGCTGGAATGGGAGAGGTGTGAGAGGACCCTGAGGAAGCAGAGGAGTTCAGAATATGTAAAACCTCCCAATTTTCTGTCAAATCACAACTTGGTAAGAGAAAAAAAAAATACTACTCTGGCTATCTGGGGGAAGACTGGATAGAAGAGACAAAAGCAGCAAAAGCAGGGTGGCGCCTGTGGTTCAAAGGAGCAGGGCACTGGCCCCATATGCCGGAGGTGGTGGGTTCAAG